TATTCGCGCGTATCGGATCATAACTTCCTTAATTTTGGCCCCTGATTGTACGAAAAATCACGTTTTAGCTTGTGATCCCACTAGAGGTCACAATTCTTATCCGATTTAAAAAAACGTTCGAATATATCACCGTTACACCGTAATTTTGATTGAGTTCGGATTTTAAAAACCGTTCCACCATAATGAATGTTGAATTCGAATTTCGTGAAAATATAAATGAAACTGCACGACAACGCAAATTGTGTACAAATATGCAATACGAAGGTTGTGGACCGTCTAGAGGTCACAATTTTTATCCGATTTTAATGAAACTTAAAACATATCTTTATGTCCCAAAGATCTCAGTCCCTTTTGACATTTGCGCATTTCAGACCATAACTTTCTGGATTATTGCCTCTGATTGTATAAAAAATCCTGTTTGTTTTTAGCTTGTTCTCTATCAATCTCTTGCAAAATATGGGCGTATCCTGCCTGACAGCCGCTAGTTCGAACAATCAGGGGCCATAATCCAGGAAGTTAATTTCGGGTATCCGCGATTATCAAAAGGAACCAAGATCTTAGTGTCTAATCGTGATATATTCACACGTTTTTTTTAATCAGATAAAAATCGTGACCTCTACAGGAACCACAAGCTAAAAACGTGATTTTTCGTACAATCAGGGGCCAAAATTACGGAAGTTATGATCCGATACGCACGAATATCGAAAGGAACCAATATCGTTGGGTGATAAACATGTATTTCAAGTGTCCTCGAAATTGGTTCAAAATTGTGACCTCTAGAGGGTCCACAACATTGGGTTACCAGATGTTTACACTATTTGCGTACGAGGGGCGGCCATATTGTCCGGCAGTTTTGGCCCGATTTTCACAAATATCGAACTCAACAAACATTACGGTGTAACGGTAATATATTCGAACGTTTTTTTTTAAATCGGATAATAATTGTGACTATAGAGGACCACAAGCTTTAAACGCGATTTTTCGTACAATCAGAGACCATAATTCAGGAAGTTACGATCCGCTATGCGGGAATATTGAAAAGAACCGAGATCTGTTGTTTATAAACATACATTTCAAGTTTAAACCAAATCAGATAAAACTTGTGACCTCAAATTCGAACTCAACAAACATTACGGTGTAACGGTAATATATTCGGACTTTTTTTCTAAATCAGATAATAATTGTGACTCCAGAGGGACCACAAGCTTTAAACGCGATTTTTCGTACAATCAGAGGCCATAATTCAGGAAGTTACGATACGATATGCGCGAATATTGAAAAGAATCGAGATCTGTTTGTCATAAACATACATGTCAAGTTTAAACCAAATCAGATAAAAATTGTAACCTCTACAGTGTTCACAAGCTAAAAACGTGATTTTTCGTACAATCGAGGGAGATAATCCTATATTTCATGTTTCATTGAAATCAGATAAAAATTGTGACCTGTTGAGTGTCACAGTATACGACAATATACATCCACATGAAAATGTGGGCGTACAAAAACTAGATAATGTAAAGGGAATTTACTGAAAATTTCAGTCAAATTGATCCACTCTAAACCGAGATTTTAGCGTTGAATTTTTTGCCTAGCCTCGATCATCATTACTAAAGTCGGTAAGATAGAAAAGAACATAGTCTCGATTATCCATTTTTTGATTTATTATCAATGAGCGTTAAGCAACAGATAGGATTCTAATCCAGAAGATATCGCAGGCTAGCCATGACATCGACAGTTGATTATGGTTTGGATAAGTTAATTAATGTCTAATTAATAATATACTCTTCAAAAAAGGAGAGGATATTGAAATGCAAATACCTATGCAGGTTGTGATATGATAAATAGACATCGACACTTGACATGCTTTGAGAGTATGTTCACAGATGAAGAACTCACCTCCCCAACAGAACCACTGAGCTGCACATACGACACACAATAGCGCCATACACGTGGGAGGGGTTCATTGTCAAATTTGACACTTCAAAGAAAGATTGATGAAAACTGCCGCGTGCTGGTTTATCCTATACATGTTTTCTTTCCTATCGGTTCTTGCATAAGATTTACTGTTTAGCGTATCTTTGCGTTAGTGTGTTACGTTTAATTTTCAATGAGACGTCTTCAACATGACGAAAGTCTACGTGCTATTGGCATGCTTCAAATGGGTTCTACACAGCGAGCAGTAGCCAACATGCTTAATGTGTCACAGTCTGTAATCAGCAGACTGTGGAACCGGTACGAACAAACACACAGTGTTGATGATAGACCTCGTTCAGGTCGTCCTAGAGCCAATACACTAGCCTAGGTTCGATACATTCGTACACAGGTCCAGCGAAATCGAGAACAAACTTGTACCAAGTTACAGAAATTCGAGTTACACCCCAAACGATTAGAAATCGACTACATGCAGCCCATTTTCATGCGCCACGATCGCGTGGTGTGCCTCCAATAACTCGCCAGCACATGGCAAACAGGCGTCAATAGTGTAGGCAGCGTAGAACTTGGGGTAATCCTCGATGGGCGCGTGTAATGTTCTCAGATGAGTCCAGATTTACTCTGGATTTTACCGATAGGCGTGCTCGCGTTTGGAGGCGTGTAAATGAGCGTCATGCTAACGTTAACGTCAGACAGCATGACAGATTCGGGTGTGGGTCTGTTATGGTGTGGGGAGCGATCCCCATGACTGGCAGAACGGACTTGTATATTGTTCAAGGAAGGGTCACTGGTGTGTACTACCGTGATCACATCCTGGCACGGTGGCACCGATAGTTCTGCCCTTTGCTGAACGTGCAGGTCGACGTTTCATCTTTCAAGATGGTAACGCCCGTGCCCACAGCGCTCGTGTCGTGAATGACCACCCCCAGCGTCACCATATTGTTCATATGCCTTGTTATAGAGCATGTCTGGAACATGGCCGTGGCACTGCGAGAGGAGTGGTTCAGTATGCCCCAAACCGTGATTGGATGGTTAATTAGGAGCATGCCACGACGAACTGCTGAATTTCTGAAGATTGGTGAGGCAATTAATCATTATTAAGACAAAAATCAAAAACGTCCATTTTCACTTTTGACAGTGTATCTCTTTGCGAGTGAAATTGGGCCGTCAGATAAGCCGCCAATATGAATTGTTTATGTTCATGTGTAGGCAATTGGCCTGTTAGTAACATACACTGGCACAGCAGTGCATGTCCGCAGTTTTGTATTGTTTCTGAATATCACCTACTTTTTTTGAAGAGTATAATTTAGATAACATTTAAGGCCTAAAGAAAGACGTGCAATTGGCAGATTTAGCTCTTGCATTATGTATGTTTAATAATTCAGGTTTAGTAAGTATTGTTTGTATTCATAGCAAACTGACATTGATGTGCATTTTCTAATAAAGTATAATCTACCACTACATTTTCGACTGAAAAGTACCGTATTATAACAGTAAATGTGACAATTGCTAGACAGACTTGCAGATTAATTGTTGTTAAGATGTCCGCAGTATACAATCTCTGGAAGTTGCTAACTTGTATTGGCCCAAAAATCTGGTAAATCAACGGTATACGTAATTTACATATATTACTCTTACATATATTAGGAAACAATATTAGAAGATCTTAATCTGTGTGGCAAATTAATGTTCAGTCAGATAACCTATAGTAGGCTACATGGAGAGTGAATTAAGCTAGCATCAATAGCGCCCTGTCATTCTTTTGAGCAGTGATACTTTGAAAAAATGGAAACAGAGAATACAAGACCGCAGTTTTGTAAATATTTTTTTTGAGTTTGTTAGAAAACCCTGCAATGGACCAGATAACACCTACTTGCATTTAGTTAGTTGATTGGTTGAAATTAAATCTAAAAAAACCCAAACAAAACAAGCCAACAGTGAGGCTGATATCCCCCGCCGAAGTCCCAAAATAAATAGATGACACATATTAATTAATAGCACATTTATTTTTTTCAAAAGTATCAAGCAAGCAAACTGATTATCAACTATATACTAAGTTTCATCACTCTCTATCAGAAAGAATCAAAGTTATCTTGTTCCAAAGCATCGACCAATGAAATTTGCTTAGCTCTGCTTAGCTTTAGCTCGAAATTTTAATCATTGAACTAAGTCAAAACATTCATCTAATGAACATCTACATCAAGTTTAAACATTCTGCCTCAATTAAAAGCAGCGTTGTTATGTTCCAAAGTCTTCACCAATCAAATTGCTCATCGCTCGTCAGCCAAAGCAGACAATTCTCATCATCAAACTTAGTCAAGGTAGTGATGAAATGAATATATACTCAGAGTTTTATAACTCTCAGTTAATTAAAACTAAAGTTATCGCGCCCCAATGCATCAACCAATCAGATTACTCCTTTGCTTGCCGTAAGCAGACAATGTTTATCATCGAACTCCATCAAGGCATTCACCGAATGAACACCTACACCAAGTGTGAACATTCTACCTCAATTAGAAGGAGAGTTATTGTGTTCCAAAGTCTCGACCAATCAAATTGCTTATCGCTCTGCTTACCCTGAGCAGAAAATGCTCATTATCGAACTTAGTCAAGGTATTGATGTAATAAAACTATACACCAAATTTCATCACTCTCACTTAATAAGAACTAAAGTTATCGTGTCCCAAAGCATTAATCAATCAATTTGCTTATCTCTGCTTACCCTAAACAGAAGATAGGTTGCCAGTCAACAAAACATACGCATTGACCGAATAAACATCTACACAAAGTTTAAACGTTCTAGCTCAATTAAAAGGAGCGTGTCCCAAAACGTGTGACGGACGGACAGATGGACGGACGGACGGACGGACGAACCCATTTTAATAGTCTCCTGCTTTCTTCGTAAGACGGAGGAAAATAAGCATGTATACCCCCCCCCCACCAAACACTCTGTTTGATCAAATTATGCAATGTGTACCAGAACAAAAAAATATATTTCAGCTAACAGCCTTGTTAGGCTGTTTAGAAACTAAGCCTGCAACTACAACTTTATTATTCTATATTAGGCTAATAGTCCTTATTGTAGATCTATTTGTGTATTATTGTTGTTTTATATTGGTAATTTTGTTTTGTTGCCTACCCATGTACGACCTATTCAAACATATTCTAAACTAAATTACCAAACAAAAGATTGCTTCAAATCGATGGCAAAACATGTTATTTGGATAGAACTTAATTCTACCTCAGTATGTTTAAAAACAGATAATAAGCCTTTATATAAATTGAAGCCTTTTAAGAAAATTCTTGACCAATTTATTTCAATAATTGAAGCCTTTTAAGAAAATTCTTGACCAATTTATTTCAATAATTCACTTGCGCGTAGGGGTCTTTAGCAGTGGGAGGAAACCGGGGGACCCCAAGAAATCCCTCGAGGTTGGACAGGCAACCCTACTCCTTGTCACGTACATCCCGGGAATCGAAACCAAGCCAGTTGACTCAATGACAGACTTTATGATACAGCGCGTACGCACCAACCATTCGGCCATTCAACCCCCTAAAAAGCAATTTTAAAGTCTGAGTAAAATGTATATGTCACTCTAACATAGATTCTTTTTTCTTTTTACTTTATCGACTTGTGTTCACATTTTTTGATATCAAAAAAGACTCGTAGGAGATTCGCTATATGACCGTGAATCAATTGTGAACTGGAAGCATAATAAAACTCGATTTTGTGATGGATAACAGTATTTTTTATGTGAGTGTCAATATGGCTAACATCATTTTTGTTTCCAATTTCTTGATATAAAAATTCTTTTGTATATAAAATATAATTTTCTTCAAAAATATAATCTTCTTTCAAAATATATAGCATTCTGTTTAAAGGAGCTAAGTCGCTATTAATTGGGACCTAGAAATTGACACAAATGGGTCGCAACGCATACAATAATGTAATATGAATGTATATAAATTGATTTACATTCAATCGTTTCTGTTTTTACCGTAATTTCTAATCAGTTAGGTTCGACGAAATACGCCAGTATTCTCAATCGAATTTCAATCTCTAGCGTCTGTTTTTTTCCAGTCTACGCCGATAGTATTTATTGGGCATGCTCTCCAGATAAGAATATAGCGTCACCGTTTGACATGACTTGTGGAATATGCTAGCCTCGTTTTTCGAGTCCCTTATTTTAAATAGGACTGAAACGCATTATGGTACACGATTCGTGTACCAATTGTAAAATGTTTATTTTGTCTTAAATATTGGATATCAGAAGGTTATCTTTTCCCGGTAAGATGACAACATCAATGTTGATTTAAAGCGACAAATAAATCGTGTTTTCAATGTCGAAGATTTTTGATGATATTGAGTTAGAGACTTAGCTACTTTAAATATACATAATTATAACGAAATATGACAATTTCATGTTTTAAACTTGTTAAGAAGATAACAAACAAAATTTAAGATACAATAATATAGATGAATTAAGATAGTATGTGGTCGCCTCAACTCAAATAAATCTGTAGACCAAGCACATAAAAACCAGATAAAAGGCTATGTTGTTATTGTTGCTTCCATTTCCATCATTCACGTCATTGCCCTTATCATAATCTTGGTAAACAATTGGGTTCTCACTGGTAATTTCCATCATTGGTGTTTCACTTCCATTTCCATCATTCACGTCATTGCCCTTATCATTATAATCTTGGTAAACAGTTGGGTTCTCACTGGTTATTTCCATCATTGGTGTTTCACTTCCATTTCCATCATTCACGTCATTGCCCTTATCATTATAATCTTGGTAAACAGTTGGGTTCTCACTGGTTATTTCCATCATTGGTGTTTCACTTCCATTTCCATCATTCACGTCATTGCCCTTATCATTATAATCTTGGTAAACAGTTGGGTTCTCACTGGTTATTTCCATCATTGGTGTTTCACTTCCATTTCCATCATTCACGTCATTGCCCTTATCATAATCTTGGTAAACAATTGGATTCTCACTGGTAATTTCACAAGACCGCATTGCGTAAACGAATTTATAAGCTTCCAACTTGTCATGTGACCATTTCAGTATGTATTTGTATGTTGTATTTGCCTTATTGCCCAAAAAGCAACCATGGGTTTCCTTGATTTCATCAACAACAGCTCGACATCCATGATAACAATCACCAAAAACTGAACATTTCGACATCACCTACAATATTTATATGTGCAGATAAAAGAATTGGCTAGATAGGTATCGCGTCATACGAAAGGTAATAGGCCACGTCGTCATGTTATTTATCTCCTCTCGGCGGGTAGTTGAATGTTTACTAGTATGTCACTTTCAATGTATCAAGATTATTGTTCCATCTGTGGTAGAAAGAGATTAATCCTCTTACAGTCAATGGGAAAATATTCCAATACAAAATTCAGAACCACAGCCACACCAATTATAAAACCAAGCGAACTGTTTAAATGGCATTACAAAAAGATTAAACTTGGTTCCGGAGACGTACTAAAGTTTGAATTTAATAATATAATTGTGTCAATTTCAGCTGTAATTTGACCAATTTACATTTTGAAACTTACCTTGTCAAATAATGCTCTTGTATCTGGGAGAGTGGCATTAAATAGATCACCTACTTTGCACCCCATTTCATGATAATCGCAGTAATCCATACTTCCATCGGTATCACAAATGCCTTGGATAGCATCAGCTGGATAATAGTAGAAAAAGGAATAGCACATTTCTTCATACGTCCCTTCTCCATAGAATGTAGTGTTCCGTCTACTCATTGATTGGTAAGTACAAACTGTTTCCAGACTATCACCAGAGTTTAAAACAACTGGAGATTCATACCTAGGACAGAATATCAATTTTTGCAGTATTTAAATGAATGACATTATTATTTGCATATTACTTGTTTTAAATCATGGAGTATTCCCAATGGTGTAAAAAAGCTCTAACGTGGTTGAGAGTTCAAATTTAACCAATAATGTATAATTTAAAGGGGCATTAGATACGATTAGATAAATAGATGGCAATCCTCGCTATTATATATAGTTAAAAAATAGATAATTAATAGAGAATATGCTGAAAATTTCAGTCAAATTGCTTCACTCTGAACTTAGATATTAGCGATTAAATTTTACGTTAGCCTCGGTCGTTATTACTACCGTAGTTACAATAATAAACAAAGTTTCGATTATCCTTTATTACGGTTATTTGATTCATCAATACATGTATATCACCATTACTTATTTATGTAAGAGAAGTTATTACTGAAATACAGCACACCCAAACTAGGTCAAACTTTGTCATCGAATTTATGCAGGTAAAGACTTACGTATGGGTAACAGGACTATCGTATCTAAATGGTTGATCATTTGTTAACATCTGTTTAGTACCATCAGTTCTCCTCAGTAAGACATGTTGGGCTGTACCTAAATACATGTATAATAAATACACGAACGTGTATCATCACAATATGCTTGAACAAATCGTAGGTAGCCATAGCAATGTATTTTCAGCATTTAAAATTTTGACTTATCAAAAAAAAAACACCGTTGTGGTTTGTCTTTGAACTCAATTCATGACGACTTTAGCCAGACTACATTGCTGAGATGCATTATTATACTATTCGCTAAGTAGTAGTACTTGACTGTTGAATACCAATAACGTATACATTGTCCACTGTAGCAAAATCCTGCTACACGGCACCACCTTCTGTAGAAACGTCAGTCACTTTAAGACATATCCTAGTAAGATTCACACACGGTTACATTTTGTATTTGTGGGCTTCTAGTGTCGATGTTGGGTCGGTATAGTTTGTATTTAAGGACTTTGTTACTTACCCAGATAATGCATATGGTTTGTACCTCCTGTGAGGTAGACAGGTTTTTTGAAGATTTTCTTCGTACATCTAGCACTACAAGTTGACTGCTGGACAACTTTAGGCAACAGGGGTGGGATTTCTAGATACACCTGTCCAATTCTGAATACACCAGCATCATATTTTCGTAGATTCTTTGTATAATAGATGGTCATTCCAGAAGAATCACTCAGATCAGATCGTTTTTCTGGATTATTCCAATGATACTAAAATAACACAACGGTATTGATAGGCCTTCGTTAATATCTACGAGATGTAGCTGAAAAGTACTAAGCCTATCTGTAAAGACGTGTACAGAGTCGATGGTTTCCTTTTTTTTCTACATAGTCCCCTTCGAGGTGTACACACTTTTGCCAACGATGTTGCAAGGCCAGAATGTCAGTCAGGACGAATTTTTCTTCAACCACCCTAAAAAAAGGTCGTTCACAGCTGATCCGACGTTGTCATTACTAGGATAATGACGACCAGCCAGTTCCTTTTTCATTTATGAAAACCTGTCTTATCCGAGGTTACAAATCTGGCCCAAAAATTAACAGGATCCGCTTTGTCCATTTCTGTTGATTTCAAGGGGTAGGGTCACAAGACAGTCTGGTAAGAAGAAAGTAATAACGCTACAGTTGCAGTTCTTATGATTCATTCAATGATTGTACTTGTTAGTGGCAAAAGATTGTTTACAAATTCAAAGCTGGATAATATAGCTATATATAGCTATTGTAATGGGTCGTAAAGGGTGGGTAATTAATGACCTCAAATTATTCTGGCTTAAATAGACCTATTGTTAATTTAGGGAGCGGGTTCAATATGTATTTAGTATTCAATAAATGAAATTAAGCAATAGCAAACCTGGATAAGCCCCCTTTTATAAAACCCCTTTCCTATTCTAAAACCTGCGTCGTGATGATAGCATTCACCTGCTAACCCAATGGTCCACATACCAATTATAGCACTACAGCCAGCGCCCATACCACATTCCCTGGGTTCCGTCATTACTGGAGCTGAAACATGTAAATTATGTGCTTTAGCTTTATTCTTTTTTTTCATGTTTAGTTATTACAAAATATGTCAATTTTAAGACGGCTAGGACTATGATTTTGGTAAAATAACAAAGTATCCATTCTGATGTAATATGATATGTAAATTTTCTTTACAAAGTAGGCATCTGTCCACATTTGGTCTACAGAAAGACCTTTTTCTAACCATTGTATATTTCACATTAGTACCGTTGGTTGTTAATAAACCAACTATTGTTTTTACATTTCAAATATTTATATACATAAAATAATTGTGATAGGCTTTTAATTTTAATTATTGATATATCTACTCTTCAAAAAAAGTAGAGGATATTCAGAAACAATACAAAACTGCGGAAATGTTAATAACAGGCCAATTACCTACACATGAACATAAACAGTTCCTAAATGGGCGGCTTATCTGACGGCCCAATTTCACTAGCAAAGAGATACACTGTCAAAAGTGAAAATGGAGTTTTTGATTTTTCGTTTAATAATGAGTGATTGCTCCACCAATCCCCAGACATTCAGCAATTCGTCGTGGCATGCTCCTAATCAACCGCCCAATCACGATTTGGGGCAATCCGACGCACTCCTCTTGCAGTGCCACGGTTGACGTTGAAGTCGACGAACACGTCTCCCGATCAAATTAAACGTAACAAACTAAAGCATACACACGCTAAACAGTAAATCTTATGCAAAGCAAACATGGATAGGATAAACAAACAAGCGGCAGTTTTCATCAACCCTTCCTTGAAGAGTCAAATTTGACAATGGACCAACCCCTCCCACGTGTATGGATCTATTGCGTGTCGCACATGCAGCTCAGTTTAAAGATACATTATGTAAGATTTAGATAAAGAGCTGATCGTTCTAGCTATAATAGTTCAAAAATAGATAACGAAAAATGAATATAATAAAATGAATATAATTAATAATTTATATAACATTGAAGGTCTAAAGAAAGCCCTGCAATAGACAGAGTTAGCTCTTGAATAATGTATTCTTAACCATTAAGCTAATATTTGAAATCAGTGTCATTTGCGTTAACGAGGTTCAAGTTGAAATTTAATGCAGTGGTTCACATGCCCTTCATCGAGTAAAAACAAAACCCTTCGCTAAAAAGTAGTAATTTTAACGAGGTGGTTAAACGTCCGGAAAGACAAGATTAGGATGGCATTTCACATATACAGTCTCTCGGGTGGGCATAACTTAAATCTAAACCACACCAAGAAGGATTACTGATCAACTGATAATCAATATAAATAGGGAACTGTTCGTTACCTCCATCAGCGCAGGCAAATAGCAGCATATGATGCATTACTTTAGATTCATTAATAATGGGTTTCGATGCAATCAAATGATACTCCTCATCACTAGGTAAATCAAAGGACATGCACATATAGGTCGTTTCTTTATTAGGCACGGAAGTCAAGTTCATTCGTAGGTCCATTCTCTGTGTACCTGAAGAACAGAAAGAAACACATACACACATATTATGCAAAGCGTAAGAGTTGCGCTTATCTTCTTTTAAAAGACGTTGATAGTCGGTGCTACTGAAATCAATAATTAATGATCGGTCAAATAACCCACCTTCCTCGTCAATGGCTGGACATGTTAAAACATCACTATCACATTTAACCCAGGAATTTGTCTCGTTACATTTGGCACTTCCCCACGGATCACAAATACCCGGATGACTCAGTAGTGTATCACGATCCGGTGCTTTCCCTTGTTCCCACTGACAATTAGGATCTCCCAGTTCTTGACCATTACTCATACCATCTCCATCTGAGTCTTTCTCACATAATTCTACAGTCCACTAAAATAACATAATATCATACATCTATTTATACATTATATACACCATCCTTCTGAAATAAATATATTGTAGAATAACATAATACCATATCGATTTGTACATTATCCACAACGTCTTCTCTGAAATAATTCTACAGTTCTACAATCCGATGGGTCCTGGATATCGGCATAGGCGTGTGAGCCAAATGAATATTGGGCTGGAGTGGGGCAGAAATGAAATGCCCGAAAAAAAAATCCCGTTTGCCTTCAGAGAGCGCCGCAAGAGCGAAGCGCACCGAAGGAGTTCCCCCCAGGCCGTGAGTCAACAACTTGAAACTGGTCCAATACCGTTTTATTTATGTTGTCTGGCAACCGAAATCCCACGTTATACCCACCCAGGTTTTGATGGAGGGTGCTAAAATGAAATGCCGAAATCATTCTCGGCCTGCAAAGCCGGCGGCCAGTGAGCACCGAAGGTGCAATTGCTTCGTCCAGAGATATATGGAGGGCCTTCCCGCGAAAATTTTGAAAATTAAACTGTCGGAAACGCGTTATCCAATATAGCTTTACTTATGTTGTGGACCCGTATCCCATCAGACTATTTTAACTGCATTTATCGGACACCAGAAATTTGACTTCACCACAAACTGACGAAAACAATAATGGTCCTGCCCGGAGTACAACAAGTACAAGTTAAAGGGAAAGACCAACGATTTTCAACAAGGATTCCATAAACCTTAAAAATATATATTGATAAATAATACCTTCTGTAGCACAAACAAAAAAGTTTCTGTAAGCGAGAAATTAATTTTTTAATAAAACATGACGTGACATAGTTGGTTCAATATGGAATTCAATACCAAACGAAACCAAACGCGGAAATTCTACTAAAGGGTTTAAAACGTATCTCAAAACCGAACTTTTTAATCAAATATTCAACTGATAGAATATGGTTTTAGCTGTGTTTGTGTCAGACTTTTACCATGTGTACTGAATAATGTTCTCCGTTATTTTTCCTGTTATGTCTTTTTTATGGATTAATATGTTGTGATCGTTGTAATTTTATATATGTAAAGCGCCCGAGAGCAGCTCGCTTAGTTGAATTGTTGGCGCTATATAAATCAATTATTATTATTAAGATCTCATATGAAAGCTTATTGTTTCTGTTAAGATTATTATTATTATTTTTTTGTGTGTCCTTTCTGCAAATCGGATTTCTCAGAATCTAACTATAGGATCTTTCTGAAACTTTGACGTACCCCCCCTCCTCCCCCCCCAAAAAAAATGGGTGGCAGCTTTTGATTAAATATATTTTCAAAACGTTTTACGAATCCGGAATCACCGAATTTTTCGAACGAAAAAATTGACAATGCACAGTCGTCACTTTGTGAATTTTTTTTACCTATTTTATTATTATTTTTTTCTTTGAGTACCTTGACGAAAATCATTTTCAACTGCAATTTCAGATTTTCGAATTTCGAAAATTCGTCGCTGTGATTTCGTCCCCGAAGTTTAGACCAACTTTAAAACTTCTTTAATATTTAGTAGATCTTACTAATGCGACTTGAAAGATGTCATTAGAAATTTTCTAAATTATCTCCCCTTGGAGAAATTAAGGATCTAAATTTTCAAAAAAAATGGGCGAAATATAGGTCTGATTGCCTTGAATTTTTTTCTGTACTAGCTAAGAAAGTTCTGATGAGTTCACAAAATATAAAGATCTGTCGATTGAACCGGAAGTGCCACCATCTTGAAACATGAAAAATCCACAAGGCTTTGCAATATTTTACTTACAGACATGGGGGTTACATTTTCTGAATCCTTGAAGGAATGCCTAAAAATATATCGGATCAGAATTTCGATTTTGGTCAACTGATGGTCACCATTTTGATCTGAATATGAGAAAAAGTGAAAATCCACGATGACGGACATGAAAATGAAAACAATAGGCCGTAGTTTGGGGAATACGTCTCATATATCCAAAATGAATACATTTCTGGATGGACGGGATCATGGTCGAGTTTTTTGTTTTTGTAAATGGCACAATTTCGAATTTTACCTTTGACGGGTTTCGTGCTGACAAAGTTGTTTACGAGTGAAAAATCTCATTAACTTCGCGAGATTTTGACCAATTTTAATGATTATTTTTTCTTGTTGAAATTCTTTATACAACCCATGACGTGACTGAATATGAAAGCTTTCATATTATTATTATTATTATTATTATTATTATTCTTAATCAGACTGTTCAAGATGCATTCACCGGTCACCAGAAATTTAACTTTCAAACAAAAAAAAAAGAAAAAACAAAAAGAAAGAATAAAAATAATGCCAGAAAAAGTCTGTTTATAGTCCTCTGCTTATTATACTTGTGATAGAGTAAAATATACCTCTACATGTACATACAACATTAATTGTGAAATATTATGCTTTTATATTTTATTATTATTAAACGACATGTTCATTTAGTATATATATTATTATTATTATTATTACACATTTCTTATAGACGTTAATCTACGACTAATCTTGATTAATCTAATTGTTTTAATTACCAAATAGATAACTTAAGCACCTTCAAGCTGTATTGTTATAATTAAATCTATTGTGCTAATTGTTTAATGGGTTAATCTTAGGGCGCTCTAAATCAGACCTGGTTACCAACATGTATATAAACTCAAGCAGAGTGCAGCACCCGCCCTCTCTCCTCACGTCAGCGTTCTTAAAACCGTATTCTAGCTTAGTCCACTTACAGCATTACTACCTCAGCCCCAAAATAACTAAGGTATTTAACCCGATGAAGGGGGCCTATGAGCTAAATCAGAGTCACGTGTTCGATCCCTGTGAGGACAGAGAAAGTTCATCGGGATTTTCTGGCGTGGTTTCTCCTTATCAGAGAAGCAGGATAACCCCGTTGATTAAACTATTAAAAGATAAAAAATTGAAACTTGTTCTTACAGGCCGATAAGTTTGACCTGTTGTGTAAAACACTTGAGACCATGGTAAATAATAGGCTAAAACATTGATGTGAAAGTAATGGATTAATCAGTCCAAATCAAAGTGGATACAGACAGCGGTGCTCCACCATTGATCATATTGTAAGGTTACAGCATGACATCATGACTTCACTATCTAAAAAGAACAATTATCTTTGTGCAGTATTCGTCGACCTGACCAAGACATTTGACTTAGTTTGGGTGGATGGCCTACTTAAAAAAAAGTACACGGACTAGGGGTAACAGGACGAATGTTCCACTGGATCGAAGATTTTCTAAGCGATAGGCAAATACAAGTTAATGTAAATCTCTCAATAAGCAACAAATAAACCCCACACTTTTCAATATCATGATTAATGACCTTCAGTCTAATAACTACATTAAGAAACTTATTGACGTAGCGGTTTATGCAGACGACAGTTCAATCTGGTATGCAGATAATAACTACGGTACGGTTAGAACGAGACTGTAAGAAGCCTTAAACAAATTGTCGAAATGGTCTAATGACTGGGGATTTCGTATATCTGAAAGTACTAAAACAGTAGGCATGCACTTCTGTAGGGATCATAGCGAAGTGTCATCTATAAAACTGGAATTAAGTAAGCCAAACTGAATTTAAAAATCAGGCAAGGCTTCTTGGAGTGACCTTTGATCGCAAAATGACTTTTATACCACATTTAAGTGTACAAAAACACCAAGGAAAAAATTCAAAAGAAATGTCAAATCAGAGACTCAGCCGTTCGGTCACAGAGCAAATGATATATTAAAAGACGTAAGATTAGATCACTATCAGATTACTAACAGGGTATCAAGCCCCATGGACTTTTTAAAATCCAAACTATGACATAAGTCTAGGTAACGTTGTCAAGAAAAAAGAAAATCCACAACACGCTCTCATGCTATCGAGGGAATTCTTAAACGAAAAATGGTCATCGCATGTGAAAATATACACGGATGGATCTCACGATCCAAACACTACCAAATCTGCATTATGTATGGTCATTCCCGAATTTAATATTAATATATCGAAAAGGCTACCAGATGGATGCTCTATATATACAGCAGAACTAAAGGCAATACTCACAGCTCTTGAGTGGCTCGTGTCATCCACCGTTTGAGTGACTCGTGTCATCCACCGTTCAAAGAGCAGTCATTGTGTCAGACTCTCTTAGCAGCATAAAGTCAATAATACATGGCACCCCCCCCCCCCAAAAAAAAAACAAACAAAAAAACCTTTATTATGTCAAAGGGAGAAGATGACCCGTCCTCTCTTCTCACGACAGCGAGTTTATCAGTGTGCTTTAAGGAACTTTTGGTATCCGAGGCCTTTTTTTTTCATTTTGTGTTTTTAACAATTTAATTAAATGAACCTGTCCATAATATCATATTCATTGTATTGGACGTTAAATCTGTAATAAACAACAACAACACGGATATTTATCATTAACTTGAAAACGTGACCTGTATGTGTTACGAAACGTCGTTATTAAATAATAGACAAGTAGTTATATTCATACATTATGGAAGCCTATAACTACCATTCATAATTTCTACTTTACGCTTCTTCAAAACACAAAAGTCGAAAAGTCGTAAAGTAGAAGTTACGACAAAATGTGAGTCGACAACACGCTATACAAGCCAAAATCAACTCGAAAATAGGAAATTAAGAAATAACACACAGCGATAATAGCGCCCCTCGTTTTTTCCTAATTTCTACTTTTCGACTTGCATTTTGGCTTGTATTTATTGATGTCAGTACGAAGGCGCCAAAACGCTATAAAACCAAAATGCAACTCGAAAAGTAGAAATTAGGAAATTAACACACCACGCTATAAGCGACTTTTCGCCTTTTCGCCTCGGAAGTTGTTGTAGTCTCAGTTTTTCAGGTCGCATTTGAATACATGCAATCAGGGCTCACATGGTATTTCATTCTTTTCCGTCAAAATGGATAATAATTTTTATATAAAAAAAATGTTCATATTTTTTTTCCGCCAACTGGGATATTTTATCTGCCAAAAATGTCTGATAAAAAAAACACACCTTAGGCTACAACAATTTAATTTATTATATAGGCCTATTATAAAACAAATTTCCCGTACCGATATATACAATATACAACAACATACATGAGGGTTGGGTGGTCTAGTGGTTTAGCACGTGCGCGTGAAATCACAAGGTCTGACATTGATTCAAGTGGTGTGGTTTCGATTCCTCGCTTAAACATGACAAGAGAGTAGGATTGTTTGTCCAACCTTGTGGGTTTTCTCCGGAAACCCCAGTTTCTATCCACTGCTAAAGATCCCTACGTGCAAACGAATTATTGAAATGATTTAGTTTGCAATGAGTGGATGTTAAGTCAGCCTGGAGGTCGGGTGTTCGATCCCTGCATTGGTAGAGAAAGTTCATCCAGATTTTCCGGCGGATACCCCCTTGTCAATAATGCAGGACGTGGAGGTCAGGTGTTCGATCCCTGCATTGGCCGAGAAAGTTCATCCAGATTTTCCGGCGGGTTTCCCCTTGTCAGTTATGCAGGACGGGGGGGGGGGGGGGGCTGACAAGGACAACTGTCGCATACCAAGCCAAAATGCAAGTCGAAAAGTCGCTAATAGCGTGGTGTGTTAATTTCCTAATTTCTACTTTTCGAGTTGCATTTTGGCTTGTATATCGTGTTGGCGCCTTCTTACTGACATCAATAAATACAAAAATATAACTAAGTCGAAAATCGACTGACATCAATAAATACAAAAATATAACTAAGTCGAAAATCGACCAGACGGTATACAAGCCAAAATGCAAGTCGAAAAGTAGAAATTAGGAAAAAACGAGGGGCGCTATTATCGCTGTGTGTTATTTCTTAATTTCCTATTTTCGAGATGATTTTGGCTTGTATAGCGTGTTGTCTCCTCACATTTTGTCGTAACTTCTACTTTTCGACTTTCGTGTTTTGAAGAGGCGAAAAGTAGAAATTATGAATGGTAGTTATAGACTTCCATAATATATACCCCGTGTTGTGCTTTGTTATGAATAGTTAACCGTGCTTCTAAATGTCATTTAATGAATAGGTATAAGGACTGTTCGGGCCCATTTCGTTTGATTTATTTAATAGCAAACTGCATGTCACGATGACTATGTAAACATCTTTAATATAGAGTTTTAGCTGACATGATACCACTGCACTTGAAAATGACAGCAAGTTCAATAACTATTTACCGATCGGGCTGTAAATAGCTAAGCCCAACCATATCTATCAATCTCTCTAAACATGCTCCCTCTAACAGAGCAGGACTATATATAAAACAACCCTAATTAATGAATTAATATAAGTCGGGAATCGACGTGTTCTATTCTTTCTATTGGTGGCAGTCCCTTGTACACATTAAAAAAAACCTTGACAGATAAATTTCAATGCAGGTATGCGAAAACGCAGTAGTCCTGGCACAAATTTTCCCCCATAACATACTACATGGCAGACGTCCGGCTTCATCATCACCAGATATTATATATTAACGTGAATAATAACACATACATGGAAACTATTCAATATTCAGTCAAAATAAGAGACAAAACGATTTGACAACGTTACGTAAGTCGTTTGCGGGGTCATTAGATACTAAACAAAATTAAACATATTGTGTACACAATCCAACGGATTAAAACATGATAAACTAAAATCAAACACTCGCCAGAAATTAATGCACTCTGAAGAGATCCCCGTCATATACTTATGTTCTAATGATTCCAGCGTGGTTAAATCGAGAATAACCCCCTCTAATTTCGAAACCGGAAGTGTTTATCTCGTAAATATTTATTTACTTATGATCATTGGTGTCAATATTGCGAGTTATTTAAAATAACCTTTTTTATTTTTATTTATTTATTTTCTGAAGAGTTCTATGTACATGTACTGTAACTTGTGTACAGACCGTTCACAATATTGTAATAAATTATGTTAAAATAATAACCAAATCAACAGAATGTCTTATAGTATAACGATGGATTATTGTAATATTAACTATATAATTGTATATTTTATACAAAAATCGTGATGAATATGGGCTGGACCTATAACAGTTTTATTTACTCAAATTAAGAATTACCGAATGAGTAGCTTCACGACATTGTTGGGACAGGGTTGACATTATGTATAAAGGAGAATGTATTGATTCTATTCTTGGACGCTAACAACAAGTGTTATATTTTCAGGAAATACTTTGGGAACATAGTCTTTATTCCTCGGGAAAAAGATACAGTATATATATATACATCCTACCTGATGACCAGCTTGAGCAAAATCTTTACCAAACTGATTTCTGTCACCTCCACCAGCTTGGTTTAAATGACCGACACCCTTCCACAAATAATTAGGTTTACAAGAGTGGGGAACATTCCCCCCATTAGGTATTCTTTCTTGATATCCAGCATAACCACTGACACAAGCCACTGTAGTGGCTAAAATCAAAGCTGGAAACATTTCTAGTTTCACACCTGAAAATAAATACCGTTATAATATAAACTAACCTTGACAGTATCAAGAACATCGTTATATACCATGAAAGTTTATTTTCACTAGTGCATTTTATACATCCAATGTCCGGGCACAATTCCCCCCATAGCACACTGTATGGCTTATCAATTATTAATTCATACACGGATGTTACTTAGGATCGATTTGTTTAACACTGAATTTGTTATTATACATACATGTAAGAAATTTACAAAATATATAGCAGAAAAGACACCCACCCAATTCTGTAACACACCCATATACACAGGCAAGTACAGTAAATAATTTATAGATGCCGAACTAATATGTGCAAGAGAAAAAAGAATATTTTCTTTTGGACATAACTTTAAGTGTTGTGTAAAAACAATATTTACTTACTTGGATATGTGTTTACATCCGATTTCTCCTAGGGTGATATAACAGACAAGTAGAAATTCAAATAAAGATGGCTATTTTATAAATTGAGTAACTCACCTGACTTTTATTGCATAATGTTATAATCATCACGTGAGGTTACCATTCAGGTAAGGCCATCGCAACAATATATTAAAGAACTCTTTGGTTAACACGAAAATAGACTATACGGTGGGATATATGAAACAACACCCGTATATCGCAATGGCGTAATTTATAAAAATAAACTAATCTAGGTTGACATTCCATTTACTACATTCAGCAGTTTCTTTTCTGTGACACCGATTCTAATAACTAGCTTATTATAATATTTTCTCTGTGCACTTGTATTTCAAACCGGGCCATATATATTTAATCGATAGTTTGCTTAGTTTTCACATTTGCGATTCTGAAAAATTCTCATTGTAATAATGCCAATACAAAAGACTGCTAAACTCTTCTTGTAATCAAATAAAACATAATATGCGCGGTATCGTATGTTGTAATCAATGACAAAGAGTCAATAAAACAAAAGGGAAAACGCAGGGGGTGGGGGTTAAATCTTGAATGCACATCTAAGTTTAGATTGTGTATAGTCTTGTCTCAAACTCATTACTCTTTTCTTCCATACTTGAATGTTTTCAGTCACACTCACAACTTTGGTTCTTGTGTATCTTTACTTGAGCTTTGGTTTTATGGTGTTGTTGGGTGAAAGATCACAGCTGGCAAGTTATTGTCATTGGGAATCCTGGTGTGTTATTGAGAACATTGTGAAAACGTTTTGTTAGACCCCGTAGTATTGTCTACAAGAGAAGATGTAGCAATTGGACTGGTCGAGATTTTCGATGATGAGTTTTTTCTGCGTAGGCTAAGCAGAGACTTCAATCTGTTTATTCGAGACTTTGGAACACAATAACCCTCCTTCTAATTAATGTAGAATATTCAAACTTCATATAGGTGAATGGTTAGCTCTATTTACAAAGGCCACCTGTAAGCTAAGCAGAGACTTCAATCTGTTTATTCGAGACTTTGGAACACAATAACCCTCCTTCTAATTAATGTAGAATATTCAAACTTCATATAGGTGAATGGTTAGCTCTATTTACAAAGGCCACCTGTAGATTTCCTCAAGGTCACGATTTCCTTAAGTTCGTGAAGCCGGCCATGAAGACGCCTGCCATAGCCACCACCATTGAGACATTGAACTTGAAATGGGCTAAGGACACACCAAAACGAAACACACTCAACAAGAGAAAATTACCCCCTTGAGAAGGCACTTGCATTAACACTCCCTCGAAGCGTGCAGTTAGATCAACCAGTTCGCACCGCGTTGTGTCTGGCTCACCCACTTCCCCAGGATCTGTATCGCCACTGAACGCACTTGTCAACTGTCTGTCCCCTAGATCGCCCATCATTCCTAACCCTAGAATCACTACAAGATGGAGTCAATCACCCAACTTATCCCGAAAGAAGCTTCCTAACTACAACGGTAAAGACGAGAAGGATTTATGCTGCCTACCACCCGTCATGGCAAAGACCCTGGTTATTGGATAGGATTGTATCATTCCTCGGGGACTGAGAGATCCCGTCACCCAGGCAACCGATCGCTTCCAAAGAACCAGTTCGTTGACTTATTGTTTTGGGAACAAACCCGGCAGAGGTAAAACATTATTCACAGGAATACATAACAATAAAACAACATGATTATCTATCCGCTGTGCCAAAAATACATAAAAACCTAATAAATTACCCAAGGGACGTCCAATAATATCAGACTGTGGCAGCGAATCATACAACATATCACGATATATAGACCATTTCTTATTACCTCTAGCATGCCAACACTCATCCTACCTTAAAGACACTAAAGATTTTATCCTGCTTTTCTGTACGGTACCTTTGGCCGGACAGCAGCGCTACACCCTACTCTTTTTTCGTTCTGCTAATGGTATGCATGGGCCTCAGTTTTCTATTCCAACCGAAGGACTAGGCGTTTTTCATCGACAGGCCTCAGTTTTCCATTCCAACCGAAGGACTAGGCGTTTTTCATCGATAAGCCATCCGTCCTGTATCTCCAACAAGGGGAAACCGGGCAGGAAAATCCCTGAGGAACTTTCTGACCGAACACCAAACCTCCTGGTTACTGAGCAAACACCATACCCACTGAGCCACCGCGACATATCTTGTTTGAAGACATGACATCCCAATCCCTATTTTGCGTATTGCAACGCTCCCGCGTGTCGGAGAAGGTGCCATAATCCCCATACACTCACCTATGGATTAAATGTGTGACCATAACGCACAATTAGTGACTGGCAAACTAAAGCTTAGAACACTATTCTGCAGATTACTTTGACATATCAACCCCTACCTGTGACTATATTTTCCATATAAACAACATCAAAGATATGTGTAAGTATGTATGTGAGTTTGGTCGCTCATCAAGGTTTGCCGCCGCGATCCATACCCACATATGTGGTAACAAAATAATCAGCATGACCCCATGCATCTTTTAGGCCCCGGGCGAATCACGAGCAAATTGAACCTGTCTCCAGGACGAATAACGATTCGTCGCTGCGCTCCACCCCTGATCCCGTAAATGTTTTAGGCTACCGAATTTGGGCCCCGGGCGAATGTGATTAAAGGGCCAATTTTGGCACCGGGAGATTTTGGCCCTCGGAGAATTGGGCCCCTGGCAAATTTTGACCCCTGACGATTTAGGGCCCCAGTCTAATTGAGCCCCTGTCGAATTTCGGCCACGTGCGAATTGGAGCCACGGGCGAAGCCAAGTATTCTGCTAGTAGGTGATATTACAAGTAATCTGTTGATGCCCTGATTAACATCCCAAATCTTGTATTTAAAATTCATAAGACATACGCCAATAATAAATCATATTTTTTAATTCATTACAGCGATATAGAAACATTGGTGAATGTACATGAATCAAAGTACTATGGTGCCTCGCTGACATTAATATCTTCGTATATTAATCATGTTATTAATTACCTCTTTCTTATTTGAACTCTCCAAGCCTTTCTTCATGAATGCATCGGTTATAGCCCATTGTTTCTTGTGGAATTACGTTATTATCAACTGTGTGGCTCTGTGTAGAGATAAAGCCTTCACATTTCTGTGCAGTTTTAAAATGTGTATGCTTGCAATTGATAACGGCTATTGAAATCTTGTCAAAACCTCCTGTGTGTATAATAGTAAATATTGTATTGTTACTTTTAAAATCCCTTATTATCCATGGTGTAAGGTGGGTAAAAAATATAAATTCAATTGATTTAGAATCATTTTCTGACTGAGCGTATTTGCTGTTGTAGACTGGCATAGGTGGTGGTGGTGGGGAGCTAGCAAAGTGCGATTGCGGTTACGAGCGCCGAACCTGTAAGTTTTGACTCTAAGAAGGCGTAAACCCAACAGATGCACGGCTATTCGCGACTGGTGATCGATGAAAATGTTTTGGTATGGTGGATAGAGATATAGGGGGTGTATGGCAATGAACTTATTCCGGGTTGGTAGCGCAAGGACATGTTCTACACAATAAATAACACGAAATAAATTTAAAAATGGATTTATTTGAGTGTTAACATGAGTAACATCGTTTCCAGTTCATTAGATACATATACATTCCTTGATAAAAAAAAAACTATACAGTTATATGGGACAACAATCACTGGTTTATTATACACAGACACGACGTTTCGAGAAGTATTCTCTTATCGTTATCAAGCACAATAACATTTAGTAAACTTGAGGGTCTATATATATGTACAATGCGAAACCATATAATAAACCAGTGATTGTTGTCCCATATAACTGTATAGTTTTGTTATGTTTCCAATTGCTAAATGCCACTAAAGGATTACATTCCTTGATATAAAAAGATAGTGTTTTGGGCTTTTAGGGTTTTGTTTTTATATAAAATCTTAAAAATTAACATGGGTTACACTGTTTTCAGTTCGTAAGATAACGATAGATGCATATGCATTCATTGATATAAAAATGTTCCCTTTTCTTGAAAATATTCTCTTTTCTTGAAAATATTCTCTTTTCTTGAAAATATACTCTTTTCTTGAAAATATACTCTTTGCTTGAAAATATACTCTTTGCTTAAAAATATTCTCTTGCTTAAACATATTCTCTTTTCTTAAAAATATTCTCTTCTCTTGCAAATACAGGCCTACTCTTTTTTTAAAAAAACAAATATACCCTTTTCTTTAAAAATTAAGGTCGTATTTAATATATATCATTTTCATCTTCTTTTTATAAATCAAAACCTTCTTTTTTTTTAAAAAGGTATAATCATTTTTTTTTCTAGAAATATAATGGACTGTGCCTATTTTAATTTTAAAAAAGAAAATATGGATACATTTAAAATATATAATCTGTTTCTTGATAGAAATGGAATGCGGTAGCCTGAACTCAAATGAATCTGTAGACCAAGCACATAAGAACCAGATAAAAGGCTACGTTGTTATTGTTGCTTCCATTTCCATCATTCACGTCATTGCCCTTATTATACTCTCGGTAAACAATTGGGTTTTCAGTGGCGAATTCACAAGACCGCATTGCGTAAATAAATTTATAGACTTCCAGCTTGTGGCTCAAATATTTAAGTAAAGTTTTGTAGGTGAAATCTGCCACTCTGTCCTTAAAGCAACCATTTGTTTCCTTGACCTCATCAACAACAGCTCGGCATCCATGATAACAATAACCAGCAACTGAACATTTCGACATCACCTACAATGTGCAGTTGAAAATACTGTTTTTATACGTTCTACGGACCACGTCGTCTTGTCACATAAAAAGTTTTTAAATACTAAAAATCTACTAGCTGTAAAATTTCCATAATTTAGTTACCCAAATGGTATCCCATTTCCCCACCCTCTGCATGATGTCCGGAATCAGAGACAGCGGTTGGAATTTATGCGAAGCTTTGCAAAATGTTTACTAGTATGCTACGTCAAGTTTGTGTACAAACTTTTAATTATAAACATCAATTATACAATCATATGAACTGTTTAAACGGTATCACAATACACCAGGCAATTATTTCAATTAAAATTTATTCCATTCAATAATAGACACTAAACACCCATTAAATTAACTGTTGGCTTCAATAACCTTATGAAATTTACCTTATCGAATAATGATTTTGTATCTGGGTGAGTCATATTCAATAGTTGACCCATTTTGCACCCCTTTTCCTGATAATCGCAGTATTCAAAATTGCCTCTGGTATCACAAATGCCTTGGATGGCATCAGCTGGGTAATAGTTGAAAAAGGCAAAGCACATTTCTTCATATGTCCCTTCTCCATAAAATGTAGTGTTGTGTCTACTCATTGATTTGTAAGTACAAACTGTTTCAAGGCTATCACCGGGGTTTACAACAATTGGTGGTTCATACCTGAAGTAGGATATCATTGTTTTATTTCATTTCTACAGTATTCAAATGAGTCACAAATTATTTCTAATGATTTCAAAAAAACACTTACATGGACAATAGTTCACCAATATCCCCGCCAATATTGAGTATGTGTATATAAAGAAATACTTTAGTATTTTAAAAAATCCTTTGACGTGATTTTAGACCTATTCAGATTTAGTTTAAATAGTTGTGGGAACCCTCAGATGATCCGTCTCCTTAAATAGAGAAACTAATATAGGAAGTACAGGATGACCGCACAACACACAAGCAAACCCGATTAAACTAACCTGCAGATCAGAGAAACTACACAGAAATTCCCAGAAATAAACAACAAATATCAAACAGTTCAATCATACTTCAATTTAACTAAACGATTTTAAACTATTATTGTTGTTGTTATTATTATTAATATTATTATTATTATTACATACTATAATTCTTTAGGTGTATTCAACTAAGTGAGGGTTGTATAATATTGTATTTACTGCTTTTCGTTATTAGTATATAATTTGTATTGTAAAAAGGGATAGTGGTCTGACATAGACAGTTTGCCTGTTCCCCAATTTCCCATTCATTTATTGTGAATAAAATATGTTTATAAAAAAAAATATCAAATGAAATGAATAGTCCTGGGGCCAGTAGTAAACATCCACTGCGCTGTTACACTCCAAGCCTGTCATCATACAGGGAATGCCTTTACTGTTATTAATGAAAAACAACTCACTGACAGGTCTGATAATCGATGTCGAGACAATGAGATTCCACTGTACTTACTTATAGTCAACAGGATTATCATATCTAAATTGTTGATCATTTGTTAACATCTGTTCAGTACCATCAGTTCTTCTCAGTAAGACATGTTGGGCTGCACCTGAACATAATAAACACATGAATGTGCACAATATGTTTGGGCTACAGTCGAATAAATTCTATTAATCACATAAGTGATTGTACATTTATACTCAAATAATGGTTTTTGTCATTTGTACGTTAGGTTCTTTCTTGAAAACGAACTATTTAATCTTTTTGAAATGTTGCAGTGCAATAAACATAGTGATTGTATACATACCAATTATTATAGTATTATTTTATAAGTCAATTGCTAAACACCTATTATTCTGGAGTATCTATCAGAAATCATTCAAGATAAGTTTATGAAACGTTCTTCACACACACCAGTCTATTTTAGTAGTTTTTATAGGGAAATGTTTCGTTGCTTAGTGAGTCATCCTCATGTTTCTCACAGTGGCCGTACTTTCCAACACAAATATTACCAAATTTTCACAGCAGTTACTGTCACTTCGACACATCCTCTAACAAAATCCACACACTATTGCACTATTTTGTCATTTTGTGTTTCACTTACCCAAATAGTGCATGTGGTTTGAACCTCCTGTCAGGTAGGCAGGCTTTTTGAAGATTCTCTTCGTACATTTAGCACTACACGTTGACTGCTGGACAACTTTAGGCATCAAAGGTGGGATTTCTAAATATATTTGTCCAGTTCTGAATACACCAGCATCATATTTTCGTAGGGTCTTGGTAAAGTAGATGGCCATTCCAGAAGAATCACTCAGATCCGATCGTTTTTCTGGATTATTCCAATGATACTAAAATGTTAAAACGGAACTGTTATAGGTCGTCCTTGATATCTAGTTGTATCAATGTCACCGCCAACATACCCTTTACATTTTAGGCACTCGCGGAATGAGCAAGTAGAAGTTTTTTTTGATAGATACCTAAACATTATAAATTGAAGGTTGGATAATGATTTCTATATACTAGTTGAAGTTATTGTATTAAGTGATCGTCCCGATTATCAGGCTGCTCACAGAATTGAAATTCTTTAAATGAGTTAATTAACTCAGCTAAACAAATCTCGCGTTCATTTTCTAACCTGTCAATATTTGGTATTGAAATTATCAGGTAAGTTAAATTGGCCATTTTTGTCGCATGGTTTAACCCATTCTGAACATCTGAGACACGCTACCTGCGGAGAAGTATCTCAGACACAGTCAGTAGCCATGATATCCATATCACGTGATCTACACATCACAGGTCATCACATTGGCGTCAATGGGTCATGAGGTCAACATTGTAAACAATAGGTTTATCTTCAGCATTGTGTCCGTTGCACCCATAAAGACTATATAATTCGTAGAGTCCCAACATGTTCTCTCTTCTTCCGATGATTTTTCACAAAAATAACATCTACAACTCATAGAATTGACGTTGTCTTCAATGACAGCGTCTGCGAGGGTTGTTCATAGAGGCCGCCATATTGCACTATTTTGTGCGTCGGTCGGGTCTATTTCAGATATACACAATCAATTCTGTTGATGTTTTTAACTAATAGTTAATGTGTTTCAGTTCTAAAACAAATATTTTAAACTCTAACGCAAATTTAGAAAATAGCCAAATTCTGGCTGGGATTACTGAGCAAAATGGCCATTCACTGTATACGTGCGAAAAAAAAGCTAGCCACCAATTAATTTTCGTACGTTAGTTACGTACGGGTTTAACCGATTGTCTTGTTAAATCTGAGAATTACCTTTCATGTTAAAAATCATATAATTATACTAATAGTTGGAATGGGTGGTTAAATGGTGAATAATTACAACAAATTATTCTCGCTTACATATACTTATTGACCATAATAATGAGCAAGTTCTAAATAATAAAATAACCAGTTGAGACAAAGACAGAGACTCACAAACCTGGATAAGAGCCCTTTTAGCAAAACCCTTTCCTATTCTAAAACCAGCTTCATGATGTAAACAATCACCTGCTGACCCAAGTGTCCACCCACCAATCATAGTCCCACAGCCACTGCCCATACCACATTCCTTAGGTTCTGTCATTGCTGGAGCTAAAATATGTAAGTTTGACTAGAGGTTTTCACGTGTATCGATTACAAAATACGTCAATATCAAGATGACTAGGTCTCTGATTAGAGTCAAAAAAGTGTCGATTTAATCAAATCTGATGTGTAAATTTGCTTTGCAAAGTAGCCACGTGTCCATATTAAAGTGTAGAGTTCACAGAAACAGCTATGTTTGTGTTTCATAGTCGACAGTTGATGTCAACATCGAAATAACACGCTAGATTAACCTATTTCAACACTTTAACCTAGATCAAATAAATTTAGTTTCTCCTTTTACCGTAAACAATCATCCACAATAATATAAATAATTAAGCCAGGACCCGGCTCGGTATAGTGACTCTTCTTAAGCATCAGATACCACTTGTCTTTGGTAGGGAAGGCTTTTTTACCGGTTGTCTTAATTAGCTACTAAACAGTGCTGACCAGAAACAAAAGCAAAACTAATGATAAATGAAATAAAATGGGGTTTAACGTCCCACTGTTCTGCTCCGACTGATGTTACCCCGCCACATTTCCCAAATAAATAGATGGGCGAAATTGCGCCCAAAAAGCGTTGTGGACGGACAGAACCATTTTAATAGTCACCATCCTTTTTTCAAAGGCTAGGCTTAAAATAATTATAATCTCTGTACAAGCGTGCATTTTGTAAATAATTCAACGCATCCCTTTCCATTTCAGCAAAAAAAATTCTATTAAACATACTTTATGCAAGAGCTAAATCTGTCTACTGCAGGTCTTTCTTTAGGCCTGATATGTTTTCTAAATTATTAATTAGACATTAATAAACGTATCCAGACCATAATCAACTCTAGATGCCATCGCTAGCCTGCGATCTTAAGTGGATTGTGATCCGATTTACTGCATAACTTTCCTTCTCGATTAAACCATTAATTGGATAATCGAGACAATGTGCTGTTTAACGTACTGACTTTAGTAATGATGACCGAGACTAGGCAGAAATTTTATTCGCTTAGTGCTCAGTTCATAGTGGATCAATTTGAATGAAATTTTCAGCAAATTGCCTTTACGTTATGTAGTTTTTAATTATTATAGTGAGAACTGCCAACTCGTTATCGAATCTCAAATAATGAATCTTTAAGTAATTAATTAGAGATACACACGAATGTTTACCCAGTACATTACCCCCCATTTATCCCAGTAGCAAGGAGCCGCATTATTTGGGTAGCCGAAACTATGAGATGCAATTTTATCCACTTTCATCGACCCCAATGTATTCAAAACTTTTAGGAGTGTTGTGTTGTTGACAGTTTAGAAACTTAAACTACAAGATCAGTCTTGACGTTGTCGGGGTAATCAAAGAACTTTAATCCAGCGGTTCATAAACACCCCTTTGTGAGGGCAAAAGCAAAAACTTCGCAAAAAGACGATGATGTAAAATATGGGGCTAATTAAGTCATTAATAACATCTTGACATTATTGACGTTATCATTCATAAACACATTGGAAGGACATTCTTAGACTGGCACATCACAATACGTCAACTGTTTCTTACCAGTGTCAGCACATGCATATAGCAGCATATGATGCATTACTCTAGATTCATTAATAATGGGTTTGGTTGCGATCATATGATACTCCTCATCACTTGGTAAATCAAAGGTCATGCATATATATGTCGTTTCTTTATTAGGCACGGAAGTCAAGTTTATTCGTAGGTCCATTCTCTGTGTACCTGGAGAACAGAAAGTAACACAAACTTTCATGTAATACCTTAAATAAGCTTACGAGGTACAATTTTAAGTAAAGCAGTTCAATTAAATATTTAGTTCCCACAAAATTCTCTATTTCGCGCGAAAGTATCTGAAGGACAGTGCTGATGAATTAGTAGTACACGGCTTAAAGGAACTAAACCTCTAACTCAACATTTCCCAAAATATTTAAAATTAAAAAAAATAATTAGAATTTAATATTGGCCCATTTCAATCAATATTGATGTTATTATCTTGCCATGAAAATATAGAAGTCTAATCTAATATACATTCACATTACATTAATATATGCTTTTAGGCCCATTTTCGATGTACAGAGCCACACGTCGTTATTTCAACATAACCCACCTTCCTCGTCAATAGCTGGACATGTTAAAACATCACTATCACATTTAACCCAGGAATTTGTCTCGTTACATTTGGCACTTCCCCACGGATCACAAATACCCGGATGACTCAGTAGTGTATCACGATCTGGTGCTTTCCCTTGTTCCCACTGACAATTAGGATCTCCCAATTCTTGACCATTACTCATACCATCTCCATCTGAATCTTTCTCACATAATTCTACAGTCCACTAAAATAACACAATATCATACATCTATTTATACATTATATACACCATCTTTCTAATACGGTTCTATGGCCCACTGACTTTACATGTATGTATACATTACATAGACCATAATTCTATGGCCCACTGACATTATATTAGTTATTATATGTACTTTGGTCCTAAAAGCAACCATTTAGATGTAAGGAACGTGGGCAGTTGGGGTTCATTACCATCCTACTGTAAATAAGGACCCCATCAACACCGATGGGACGCCAGCAATCCGTCTGTAACCATCCCAATCGTCCTGTGGGTTTGATACATATTGCACTGTAACATTGTATTCTATAGTGACGTTACAGATTATATAAACATAGATTTATTTGTTTATTTATAATGTGACAAAGGCTGCTGGTTTATAAAACGGAACACAGAAACACAAATAAGTCAGGTGACAACCGAAGCTAGACAACCGGTCGTAATCAAACAATCAGTTAATAGATTCATAGTGTCACAAAATAAACAAAGTGTTTACTTAATAAAAGTACTTAAAAACATGATTTGTGTCAATACTTTGAATGTATATTTACAAAAACAATCAATCACAAATTAAAATTTTTTAGAGAGAACCCAATCATATATTTATTAATACTATTTCGAAATATACAGTTTAAGCTTGATTTCCCTTTCTTTACTGTTCTTGTGTTCTTTCGATGATTTTTTATAATAAATAGTTTAAAATAAGGTTTAAATTTCAAATTGACTATAATCGCTTAAATAGTTTATTTAAGCCAGCACCGAGATTTATTTATTTGCAAAATGTATTTTTTAAAGTTTAGGTGATATTCGTTCAAAGCTTATTAAACAATTATTTTAAACAAATAACTAATCCAACGGAATGTTTTATAGTCCTGTTTTGTTACGAGGCGTTAGTTTGAGGCTTCATGACCCCATGAAAGGGTGTGTGTGTATATACATCCTACCTTATGTTCAGCTTGAGCAAAATCTTTACCAAACTGATTTCTCTCACCTCCACCAGCTTGGTCTAAATGACCAACACCCTTCCACAAGTAATTAGGTTTACAAGAGTGGGGAACATTCCCCCCATTAGGTATTTTCTCCTGATATCCAGCATAACCTCTGACACAAGCCACTGTAGTGGCTAGAATCAAAACTAGAAACATTGCAAGTTCACACCTGAAAATAACACGAAACGTTAAAGTAAAATGATAATTTATTTTCATTATAAACCTGCAGATAGTTCCATAATACTACATGTAGTAAGCCGGTTTTCATACAACATTGAAACGAGACGGGGTTGAACGTCTTACATTTCTGCCCATCAACCGGGCTAATAAAGACGGTTGGGTTCAATAAGCATAATACTTTATTATATAAAATGTATACAGGGCCGAATTAATACCAATGGAGGCTCTAAGCACTCAACAGATTTTGGCGCCCCCATACATAGGCCTATATGCAATTCCCAATAATACACAATAATAAACCATAATATAAATTTGTATTTTTCAAAATGAGGTTTTATACACGCCATAATTAATTGAGACAAAGTAGCCAGACAGCAGGAAGGGATGATAAATAACAATAAAAAGCCCATTAAAGTTCTTAATTATTTTTTTAAATATTAAGTTTATTGATTGTGATAATATTCACACTTGTTATTAACAATCAACATGTCAACACAGATGCCTAAGTAATACCTTTTCTAACCAGCGGCGGCCAGGCAGAATACGCCCACACTTTTCAAGAGATGGATAGAGAACAAAAGGCGATTTTTCGTTACATCAAGGGCCATAATTCAGAAAGGTACGACCAGATATGTGCGAATATCGACAGGAACCACGATCTTTTGGTTATAAACATGCATTTCAAATTTCATTAAAATTGTAACCTCTAGGGGGTTCACAACCTTGATATACCAGATGTTTACACTATTAGCGTAGAGGTGCGGCCATTTTGTTTGGCAGTTTTCGTCCGATTTTCACATAATTCGAACTCAACCAACATTACGGTGATACATTCAAACAGTTTTTTAAATCAGTTAATAATTGTGACCTCTAGAGGTCAACCAATATTACGGTGTAACGGTGATATATTCGAACGTTTTTGTAAATCAGATAATAATTGTGACCTCTAGAGGGACCACAAGCTAAAAACATAATTTTTCGTACAATCAGCGGCCATAATTCAGGAAGTTACGACCCGATATTCGCGAATATTGAAAGCAACCACGATCTTTGGGTTATAAACATGTATTTCAAGTTTCATCGAAATCAGATAAAAATTGTGACCTCTATAGGGTCCATAAGTTAAACCAGCGGCTGCCAGGCAGGATACGCCCACATTTTCGAGAGATGGATAGAGAACAAGCTAACAAGAAAGTGATTTTTCCTACAATCAAGGGCCATAATTCAGGAAATTACAATTCGATATGCGCATATATCGAAAGGAACTGAGATCTTTGTGTTATAAACTTACATTTCAAATTTCAACAAAATCGGATAAAAATTGTGACCTCTATAGGGTCCACAACCTTGATATACCATATTTTTACGCTATTTGAAAACGAACGGCGGCCATTTTGTCTGTCAATTTTGGGGCGATTTTCACAAAATTCAAACTCAACCGTCCTTAGGGTGGAACGGTAATATAATGATACGATTTTTTAAAATCGGATAAAAATTATGACCTCTAATTGGTCCACAAGCTAAAAACATGATTTTTCGTACAATCAGGGGCCATAATTCAGGAAGTTACGGTTCAATATGCGCGAATATCGAAAGGAACTGAGATCTTTGGGTTATAAACTTACATTTCAAGTTTCAACAAAATCGGATAAAAATTGTGACCTCTATAGGGTCCACAACCTTGATATACCATTTTCTTACGCTATTTGAGAACCAACGGCGGCCATTTTGTCTGTCAATTTTGGGCCGATTTTCACGAAATTCGAATTCAGTCGTCCCTAGGGTGTAACGGTGATATAATAATACGTTTTTTTAAATCGGGTAAAAATTATGACTTCTATAGGGTCCACAAGCTAAAAACGTGATTTTTCGTACAATCAGGGGTCATGATTCAGGAAGTTACGGTCCGATATGCACGAATATCGAAAGGAACCGAGATCTTTGGGTTATAAACTTACATTTCAAGTTTCAACAAAATCGGATAAAAATTGTGACCCCTATAGGGTCAACAACCTTGATATACCATATTCTTACGCTATTTGGGAACGAATGGCGGCCATTTTGTCTGTCAATTATGGGCCGATTTTTACGAAATTAGAACTCAGTCATCCTTAGGGTGTAACGGTGATATAATAGAACGATTTTTTAAATCGGATAAAAATTATGACTTCTATAGGGTCCACAAGCTAAAAACGTGATTTTTCGTACAATCAGGGGCCATAATTCAGGAAGTTAATGTCCGATATGCGCAAATATCGAAAGGAACTGAGATCTTTGGGTTATAGACTTACATTTCAAGTTTCAACAAAATCGGATAAAAATTGTGACCTCTATAGGGTCCACAAGCTAAAAACGTGATTTTTCGTACAAACAGGGGCCATAATCCATGAAGTTTCGATCCGATACATGCCAATATCGAAAGCAGCCGAGATCTTTTGGGGATAAACCTATATTTCAAGTTTCGTCGAAATCGGATAAGAATTGTGACCTGTAGAGAGTCCACAAACAATTGTGGACGGACGGACGGACCGACGTCCGGACGGACAGTGGCGACGGCATAATACGTCCAAATGAAAATGTGGGCGTATAAAAAGCAATTTTTCGTACAATCAGGGGCCATAATCCATGATACATGCCAATATCGAAAAGAATCGATATCTTAGCGAGATAGACCTATATTTCAAGTTTCGTTGAAATCGGATAAAAAATTGTGACCTGTAGAGTGTCCTCAAACAATTGTTGACGGACGGGGCGACAATATATACCAGTGTGTACTTTTAGTGTAAGTGGTTGGTACTGCTGTGGCACTTTTATCTGACAGTTCTGGGCACATTGTTTAACACCATCTAGATACTGTTGGTTTTATCTCGCTCGATCGTTTGAACAGCTATATTAGTTTTTGTGGCAATTACATTTACTGGGGGTACCGTCGATTCTTTGGCAGCAAGCATCTGTTTAAACCGCTGTCCTCTTATAAAATCTCTTTTTTGCTTACTTGTCGATTTTCTGTTGTCCACTGAATTAAAACTGGACCAAGTTAAAACAACTGAAGTATTACGTTCTCGTCGATCAATTCTCCATTGGTTGGCCTTAGTATTCATACCAATAGTTTTCAAGATCTCTGTCAGTTCATCAGGGATGATTAAATTTTCCATATTGTAAAGATTTAACTTACTCGCTTGCAAAAGGTTCCGAGATCTTGCCTCACAAAGCACTCCACCAATCTGTAGCAGTGAGAATCTTCGGTAATAACTAAAGACTTGAACTATCCTTGAAACTATTTATTACCGGAAACATTAAACATCATATACGGAGAACAGCACGTCCGGCAAGCAGAGTAACTGTCCTGGAAACGGGATGAAACCTAGAATACTATATAAATGTACAAATCGGTATTTATAATAAAATGGTGTCTAAGGAATTAACAATTACACCAAGGCTACTAATAACAATTAACGCGGAAAGATTAAAACATACAAGACATTGCAATAAAATAAAACAATAAGATCGTAATTGAACTCGTTAATGTGTCAGCTGTCAACCGTCTGTCATAAGATTAGTAGCTTAACGTCTAATTAAAATGGTGGATTAACAGAAACATAAGAATAATAGAAATGTTTAATTGAATGAATGAATACTGAACGAATGAACTATTGAAAAAACGAAATAGAAACAATTCATAAATTTATCATCATTATAAATATACGTCCACGTGAAAATGTAGGCGTATAAAAATCTAAATAACAATGTCTACTACTTACTGCAGTGCACTCAATATATATTTATATTTATACAGAAAGAAGAAACGACACGGTCTGTTTCCTTTGTTAATGGTTTGTGTGTAATGTTAAGTGCGTTGTACGTTACTCCGCTAGTACAACAATCATCCTTAATTCAATAATGTATACATCATATAAAATATAGTCGAGTTGCTTGATACATACTCTTGTATATTTTATCTTGGACGTTGGCGAGTTCCGTTTATTTCAAAATCAAGTTTAAATAGTTAAATTTTGCTCATTTTGCTATATTTTAACTTTCATCAAAATCGTTTAAAAATTGTAACTTCTAGAGGGTCGACAGTCTAACAACGTGGGACCATAATCCAAAGTTACTCGAAAGGAATCGAGATCTTTGGAATATCAACCTATTTTCCAAGTTTCTTCAAGATCGGATAAATATTGTAACCTATAGAGTGTTCACAAACGTGAACGGACGTCAGGGCGGACAGGGGCGACGACAATATAAGTCCACATGAAAATGTGGGCGCATAAAAATCTCCTGTTCCTAGCCAAATTCTTTACAGATACTGTTGCAATGTTGGACGACAGTTCGATATAATTTCCATTATTAAATATGGGTTACAGCATTATTTTTTCCAATAACTTTATTTAGTATCTATTTACCGAGTTGTTGACAAATTTCCATTTTTAATATGACTGAGGTTTTGTTTAGAATTCCAGAATCAAATTACATTGTATTTCATCATTAATACTTCATACACTGAAGGACCGATTAGTATGTGCATACATGTTTAGACCCCCCCCCCCCCCCCACACACACACACACAAGGCGTACGTTATAGAGAAAGTAAAAGAAAAATCGAACATACCCGTGATTGTGTTCACTCTATGGTAGTATACAGCCTTGCTTAGTCGAAGTATACTTTCTTAAAGTTTCACCTTTTACCATCTAGGGTTATATTAATTGTGGGAATTGTACCGAAGACGGTTATTTTATAAGTTATTTTGTTAATCACATGACTTTGACTATACAATGTTATAGTCCTTCGTCACGTGAGTTGCCCTTCAGACAAAGCTATCTCAACCAACGGGCTTTACATACGAAAAGTACATCATATTAGAGCTGCAACGATTCAGTTCGGTGCACCAATAACCGACACTAGCCGTCTCGGTTCGATCCACGATCTACAACGTTCAAATTTCGATTCGGTTTAATTGCAAATTAAATTTCAAATAAAAACAACGTACACCTTACCATATAAAAAAAAATGAAAGACCTGTAGCAATTAAGTCCACTTAAAATTTAAAAAAAAAACTTTGTTTTTACGTAACTTTTAATTTACGTTAACAAAACACGAATGTCACTCGAAAACATAACTAAAACAGAGTAACCTCCCTTTAAAACAATTTCCGTATGCTGACGAAAGTTAATTTATTTGAAATTGGTGACGTACCGAATGTTCATTTCGATAATCGTTATATAAATTCTAAACGATCTCATTAGCTGATAATTCCGGTCATTATCTTCGGATATTTTCGTGTTTAGCGATTATTACCCGGAGTCAAGTAAACACTGGAAGGTAAAATTATGGCAGACGACGTACTTTCTCGACCACCTGGTAATTTGAAATCTAAAGTTTGGGATCATTTTGGTGTAAGAAAAAACTCTAAAGATGTGGCAACTTGTAGAGTATGCTACACTGACATATCCCATAAAACAGGAAACACAACAAACCTGTCAAACCAATAAAAGTGTTCAAGAGAATTTTAGTCTTGTGTTTTTATTGTTTTTAATGAATTATATACAGGAACATTTACTGGTTATTGTAGCTGATAATCGAATCGAAAAAAATCGAATCGAATGGTTAAAATCGATAATCGAACCGAATCGAGGTAGTTGTGAATCGTTGCAGCCCTAAAATCATAATCCCGTGATATATATCGTGTATATTATTGAATGGTATTCCACGTTTATTCAAGTTAAATCTTCACCCATTTTTATGGTATTCGGCTAGAGGGAGCACTTAGGGACTCCGAAATTTATTAACTTTTTGATAAAACAAAAATACATTTCATCCATTGTCGTTTCTTTACAACACACGCATCAATTCCTTCGATTTCGATATTTACATTAGACTTGTTTAATTCCAAACAAAGTTTGTATCATCGTCTTACAGCAGATAATTAGTAAAATTTACTCGAATTATATTCCCGATGGGTGAAGCGTAGAGTGTGAATAAAACAGATCCAAGAACGAAACCCTGCGACACTCCATATTTTGCCTACTCTGAGATATTATTAATGTAATTATAATCTACAAGTTTCATTGAAATCGGTTGATAGTTGCGGTATGTAGCTGTGCCACATGAAATATGTGGTAATCTAAGATATCTCGGAAACCGCTAATCCAAAGTGGTCGAAATTTTGCCTACTCTGAGATTATTATTAATGTAATTATAATCTGCAAGTTTCATTGACATTGGTTGGTAATTGCGGTCTGTAGCCTTGCCACATGAAATCTGTGGTAGCGTGATATCTCCGAAACCGCTAACCGGAAGTAGTCAAACTTTTGCCTACTCAGGGATATTATTAATGTAATTATAATCTGCAAGTTTCATTGAAATCGGTTGGTATTTGCGGTCTGTAGCCGTGCCACATGAAATGTGTGGTAAACTGATATCTCGGTAACCGCTAACCAGAAGTGGCCGAAACTTTGCCTACTCTGAGATATTATTATTGTAATTATAATCTGCAAGTTTCATTGAAATCGGTTGGTAATTGCAGTCTGTAGCCGTGCCACATGAAATGTGTGGTAACCTGATATCTAGGAAACCGCTAACCGGAAGTGGTCGAAATTTTGCCTACTCTGAGATATTATGAATGTTATCATATTCTGTAAGTTTCATGGATATCGGTTGATAGTTGTCGTCTGTAGCCGTGCCACATGAAATGTGTGGTAACCTGGTATCTCCGAAACCGCTAACCGGAAGTGGTCGAAATTTTACCTATTCTGGGATATTATTAGTGTTATCGTTATCTGCAAGTTTCACTGAAATCGGTTGATAATTGCGGTACGGAGACTTGCCACACGTGGCAAATAGTCCCCGGATTGTCTTACCCCATGTGGCAAATAGCCCCAGCCAAGATTTAAAGCGTGCGCTTCGGATCATTAAGTCTTTTTATTGACACAACTGGCGTGGATTCGATTCCTAGTTTGTACGTGACAAAGAGTGGAGTCATCTGATTAACCTCGTGGGTTTCCTCTGGGTCCCTCGATTTCATCAGACTGTTAAAAAACAAACTACGCATAAGCGAATTATTCAAAGAAAGTTTGTGTTGAGTGTGCGTTATACCTTGCAATTTCTCACTCATATTATCATTATTAAATTATACACCGTTAATGAAGTGGACTTCCGCCATTCGGTATCTGTCTTCTATATGATCTGTATAACCAACTGAAGAGGTGTATACACATTTTAATGCTACAATGAACTAAACAAATTAAATATTGCAAATAATAATTGAACACTACCGGAATATCTTGATCATTCAAATAAAAATATTGTGCATTACATTCTATGATGTAAATAAAACTAAAAAGAAAATGGAGTACATAATTGATTTGACAGACATATTAAATACATAAATACATGTAATCTCTAGGTGGCATCCACAAATTTCTTTAATGCACATTTAAATGAGCTAAATCGCTAATATTTGGAACCTAGAAATTGACAAAAATGGGTAGCAACGCCAATGTAATATGAATGTATATAAACTAATTTACATTCAATCGTTTCTCATTTACTGTAATTTCTAATCAGTTATGTTCGGCGAAATACGCCAGAAGTCTAATGTGAATGGCAATCTTTAGCGTCTGGTTTTTCCAGTCTACACCGATGGTATTTATTGCTCATGCTCTCCAGAAAAGAATATAGCGTCACCATTTGACAGGACTTGTGGAATATGTCTAGCCCTGTTCTTTGAGTCCCCTGATCCAAATGGCGCTGAAACGCATTATGGTACACGATTCGTGTATCAATGGTTAAATGTTTATTTTGTCTTGAATATTGGATATCAGAAGCCCACCTTTTCCCTGTAAGATCACAAGACCAATGTTGATTTGAATTGACAAATAATTCGTGTTTTCAAGGTCGAAGATTTTTGATGATATTGAGTTAGAGACTTAGCTACTTTAAGTTTAGATTGTGTATAGTTTGTGTCTAGGTAATTTATCTCTTCCTAAGAAGTCACCATACAGTGTAGGCTACAAACTCTGGTATATCGGGCCAATTGAGGAGTGGAGACCTCGTCAGTTAAAAAATAAATAATTGAAAGATTAGATTAATTTTGATCGTCATAGAGCGTAACATTTAAAGTCTGGTTTATGGCAACATTGGGTTAAAGGTAAATAATGTAGGAAACTGTTATTTTTATTTAGTCTCCAACTCGTAGTCTTAAGCGCATGCGCAAGGTCACTCCGATGGCAACCAATGTCATTTACGTCATCACTCGGCAAACCTCAGCAGATTCCAGTATCCTACATCAAGCCTCGGCTGTATGACGAAGACCGCCATTGGAACTACTTTCAAGTTCCCGGATTACCAACAGCGTTGTCCATGACGACGCCTTTGAAGAATGTTTTATCATACACTCAAAGCTATTAAAAACGCAATGCCAAATTCAAAGTTTATTTACGGCAACAACTTTTAACAACTGTACACAACATGATTGACAAAATCGAAATAACACGCATCTGTGGATCATTTCATGAAAGAATTCACTAAAAATGCACAAAACCGAAACGTCAGAGAACCATGAAACAAAGCAGGGGTCAGCTGAAGTCAATATCGAAAATGTCCACCCTGAGCTCTTACACATGCCTGAAGTCGCCTTGGCATGGACTGACACAGATGTCTCACTACACGCTGTTGGATTGTTTGCCAATGATTTTGGAGTGCCTGTGCCAACTCTGCAACAGTTCATGGTGGCACGGTTTGAGGTCGAACCCGTCGTCCAAGTTCATCCCAAAGGTGTTCGTTCATGTCGACGTCGGTAGATACGGTGACGTCCATCAGGAAAACTGAGGTTGAAACGGGATTCATCCGAGAAGATGACATTTCGCCATGGTGTGTTGTGCAGATACCCCTGATTTGCGGTCCATTGCTGTCTGGCAAGTCGATGACGATGCAAAAGGATTTGACCTTAGTAAGGTCGACAGCAGCGTAACCCAAGAGCAGCCAGGCGCCTTCGAATTGTTTGAGGGCTGATCTGACGTTGCCGGGTTCCAACAGTTCCCCTGACAGTAGCAGTAGCTGACTGGAACCTGTTGCGCAGATTCTGTAGTGAGATGTGGCGATCTTGAGCAGCGGTTGTTACAGGTGGCGCTCCAGGTCGGGGTCGATTGGCAACGCTTCCACGCCACTGAGGCGAGCAATGGTCGATGGGTGGACATTAAAGTGTCTGGCGACGGCTACTGTGAAGCCTTCTGATCCAGTATGCCATTAGCTCTGTTCCTGTTTTCTTGTGTAAGTCGTGACATTTTTCCAAAGTGATGAATGTTGAAATTTTGACCTGTATTTAAAGGGCCAGAGTGCAGGGAATGGGACTGCTTAAAATCGTGAAAAAAAGACAAATGTTGCGTTTGCACGAACAAAGTTCATTGCCGAGAACTGATATTGGATTCAAACCCAGAACTCCACAAAAAGGGACCCATCACAAGTTTCACCTATGTGCCATAAGTTAGGAAAGGCAATGAAAACTTTTACCAGAAATATTTCACGAATTAGGCATTGCGTTTTTAATGGCTTTATACAAGTCGGAAGCTGTGTGATAGAGCTGGTTAAACACATTCCAAATATAATTTTAACACAGAGATCATTGCTACGGTAGCTGAGTAATACAGGTTTCCTGAATCGGAAGTGACGAACGCCAAAGGAAAACACGAGTCATTTCTCTATATAACTGACCTATGTGACGAGTGATAACAGATACACGACCGAATTTCTGCTCACTAATAATTCCTTCGAAGACCAAAAG